ATAAAACTGATTAGTCAAAATTTTGATTTGATTGTTTTTCACTCAACCTTTCCAGTATGTAGAGCTGTAAAGTTTGTAAAACCTCAGGGGTTTTAGGTAATTGTTGGTCCCCTTGTCATTACAAATTCACGTTTCTGTATCTTTTCTAGTTCTACTCAATTTAGCCATCAGAACTACAGATTTCTACTAGGTTTAGCTAGCAGAAATATTCATAGGATTTTCTTTCTATTTTTCATCTTGGTGATGCCTAACATTTTGACACTGTTTTGAGGTGCAGTGTCAAATTTTGGGTCAACATCATTTAAGGAAACATTTTTGGTAATTCTCAGGTATTTTTATGAGGAAATAACTAATAGCTCTGACAAATTTTTTTCTGATCCATTAAAAAACTTATTAGAACTTTTATGTCCATTTGCAAATAATGTAACTCTCCTAAAGACTTGGGTGTTTGGAAACTTGGAGGACTTTCTATCATCTGCAGACTTGGAAATTTTGCAGCGTACTTTCTGCTTAATTCATTACGGAGATTTTTTAATGAGACCAATTTTTACATTAAATCCTGAGGAATCCAACACACTATATCTTTTCCTTCAAAGAAGCATTTATCTCTACTGGACTTCTAAAATAGTTGACTATTTTTAAAGTACTGCCAGTCAGACCTCCTTATCATTTTACGAGTCTGAATCAAGTTCCAGCTCAAATTTCCCTCTTGTGAGAAGCTTTCCCAGGAGACCTGCCATCTTTCCCCATCTATCTTCATCCCTTAGCACAGACCTAGTATGTATGTGCTACAGACATCATACTAGGTCTGTGCTAGGTGATCTGTTATTTCTAGTCTCCCTTCTTTACAGTTTTTCACGAACTGCCTATGGTGCACATATATCTTATTTATCTTTTTTTTTAAGATTTTATTTATTTGACAGAGAGATACACAGCGAGAGAGGGAACACAAGCAGGGGGAGTAGGAGAGGGAGAAGCAGGCTTCCTGCTGAGCAGGGAGCCTGATGTAGGGCTTAATCCCAGGACTCTGGGATCATGACCTGAGTGGAAGGCAGACGCTTAACGACTGAGCCACCCAGGTGCCCCTATCTTATTTATCTTTAATTGTGGATGCCTTCAGGAAAGTACTTCTGCTGTCCCTACGTCATACATGGTTGGAACTCACTAGACACTACACGGCTCAGGGATCACACGTCACACTGTATGCTAAAAACTCAAAGCAGTTTGTTCTTAGTGGTTGTTTGAGCAATCTGTTCAGCCCTCAGATTCTCATAGGGTACTTCATAAGTACACATTTTTCTTCAGTCATAAGCTACACTTTGGGGATATATTTTAAGTGCTACTCTTCCATAAGGCTGTCCTAACTGGACCTTGCAAGGAATTTTATATCAAAGAAATGTGTATCTATATTTTTCTTTCTGTATCTAGAGCTTCCTTCTGCTTATTGAATGTAACAATAGACTCTTCAAGGGAAAGGCAAAGCTTCATAAAACCATCTTTACTCTGGAAACAAAAAACCAAACCAAACCAAACCCTGCCAGTCAGCCCTTTATACAGCCTTTGGTGAAAATGTTGTCAAAGGCTATTATTTTTAAAAAGTGTGTGTTTGCCTTGCCTTTGAAATTCCATTCCGGATGTTACTAGAAGTAACAATCACCATTCTCCACTTTACTCCAATGTGCTATCAATATCCTGTTCTCTTTTGGGATATTTTCAGTTTTTGGAAAAAAAATCTACCCTTTTCCCTGTGTTATTTCATGTGGTACATGGGCACGCGGAAATTTTTTTTTCAAGCACATTGCCTGGTACCTAAGTGCTTAAGATTTAGTGAATAGATATTGAGCACACATACTATTTTTTGAAAAAAATTAACTTGTTTGTCAATAATGTATCATTAAATAACATCTAGACTACTAGCATTCTTAATTTCTAACTAAGGTCTTAATTTTGACAGGGTTCTGTTCTTAAACTGATGATATTCTTGGATACCCTCTTCCCAAGAGGAAGTTGAACTTAACTGTATTGTGATAACTAGTACTTAATGGCTGTTCAGCAAACATCTCTTAAACCGATTCCTGTTCATCCACTGAGACCATGCTTAACACATTTCTTTCCTAAGGGGGTTTCTGAACTACACGTTCTTAGAAAAAGTCTTTTAATTTATGTAGAAAGAGACATCTACATATCTTAGCTAGAGAGTACATTTTACAACTGTCCTTGGTTAATGTAAACACAGTTTATTCTCTGGCACTTTAAATGTTTGGATTTTTGTTGTTGTTGTTGTTGTTTTTTTCTCTTTCTGATTGGATGGTCCAGAAAATGCATTGTTTTATCACCTTTTAAATTATGTGATTATTAAATTTTTACATGATTTTCACAGTAACTCAATTTCTCGTAAGATTCTTATCCTGCTTTTGCTGGTTTTTATAAAGAGCAGTATGCTGCCTTCCTGTCCTCATCTTTTCTGTAAACTTTGCTTATTTTCATGACACTAGATCTCTAAATAGCTAATTGTAGTTAGGCTCTCTCTTGAGATCATTACCAAACCATTAACTTTATTCACTTTGTTTATGAGGCCTTCAGGAATGGCACAGAAAGTTTTACATAATATGGCTTGATATTTTGATCTTTTCTTACTAATATTTGTCTTGTATTTATTCATTGAACATTTATTGTATGCCCATTGGATACAAAGCACATTTTTATTCTTTGGGAGGGAGATGAAAGCTGAATGTGAGGTGATCTGTGTTCTCAGGGAATTTAAGATCTGCTCAGAAAGCGTCTGTGGAAAAACCCAGTACACTAAATAACCGTATTTAGAAGCAGAATAAATAAGGATACTAAGAGAAGAGAGAGGGCGAGTATTTCCAAGAGGTTGCAGGGAACATGTGGAAGTTGAATTTTACTAGCCAGGATGGGCAGATAACCGAGTAGACAGAGGACTTGGCACGGAAGCCTGGAGCAGGTGTGTCGCAGGTGTAACAGACAGAGCAACGGTCCCTTCGGTGGAAGGGTGTGTCATGTGAAGGGGCGGAGCTGCGGCTAAGTCATAGTGCATTTGAGTTTGGGTATAGAGAGTCTTCAAGGCCAAATTAGAGATTTTGAACTTTTTGGTAAACAGCAAAGAAAAAGGAATGGTATTCCAGGAATGATATTCAGAGACATGCACTTTATTACTAATTAAAATAACTACCAATTGGGGTGCCTGGGTGGCTCAGTTGGTTAAGCGACTGCCTTCGGCTCAGGTCATGATCCTGGAGTCCGAGGATCGAGTCCCGCATCGGGCTCCCTGCTCAGCAGGGAGTCTGCTTCTCCCTCTGCCCCTCCCCCCTCTCATGTGCTCTTTCTCTCACATTCTCTCTCTCAAATAAATAAATAAAATCTTTAAAAAAATAAAGTAACTACCAATTATTGCATGCCTAATCTGCATCAGCCATTAAACTAGGCATTTTACAGCTAACCTGAACAATAAATAATGCTGAAAAGATGAGTGATATTATTCCCATGTTACAGATGGAGAATTTGAAACTTCAAGAGGGAGCTTAACCTGCAATGTTGCAAAACATGGATTGCAGGGAGTTGGGACTGAAATTCAAATCATTTAGCAGGGGATCGCTCAATATAGTTGACTGAACATATGCTTTTGTCGCTTCCTCTCATTCCAGTGTCCTAAAATTGACCAAAAAAAATGTATTTTTAAAAATTCACAGTCATGCTGGCAAACTTGATCACAAACTATGAGGAATACTTGAAAAGTAAAAGGCAGGAGCGATTCACAAGAAAACCATGGCCTCAGATGCTTATTGGAAAGGGTTGTTGTGACAGGTGGGAGTTCAGGTAGTGACCCAAATCTGGAGGTGTGGATCCCAGTACTAAGGAAGGGCCATGAAGTAATTTCCACAATAGCTGATGAAGGTGTTCCTGTAGGAGGAGCCAGGGGTCCACACCTCTGGCTGTCACCCTCTGGGTCAGACAGTGATAGCTGTCTCCACACCAGGAGGGGGCCCTTGGGTCAGAGAGAGCAGGAAGTACCCTAGAAGCATGGCCACCCCAGGAGTAACAGGAAGTATTCTATCCAGAGTTACCATAGGCACATCCCATCAATTAAACCATCAAATAGCATAGCTAGCTCCCCCCTCCATAGTCAATAGGTGTAAACATGAAATATTCACAGAGAGTCTAATAGGGAATCTCAAATAAAAAGAGGTCTATAGGCAAAAATTAGCAAACATTTGATGGGAAAAAACTCCATTTAAAAAAATACCAAATTCAGCAAACAAGGGAATTTTCTTTGAGTACCTACTACATTTTTTTTTCTATACCTGTCTTCTGGTATTTATCAGCTTCCCAATTTTCTACCCAAACACAATTGACTGTTCCTATGAACACACACACTTCTTCATATTTCTTACATTGAGTCTATGACTCTATCTCCCTAATGTCCATTTTTGTTAATTTTCATTTATATATATTTATAAATATTCATTTATTCAGACATAAATATTCATTTATATCTGAATGTTGATACTTATGTACAATTATATGCAGACTTATATAATGTCCCACGTAAATCAGACACTGATAAAGTTGAAAACTAACTCTGAGGAGTTTCAGAACATTAAGACTCAAATTTATTCTTACTTTTGAAAACACTAAGAGCAGCAAATTGTTGAGTTTTCTAAAATTCTAACTTTAGAAGGCCATGGTAAGGCAGTATATTTTAGTACGTGTTACGACTTAAGCATATTTTCCAAGGGATTTTACACATACACTTGTGAAAACTAAATATTTCCAGTGACTAATCTTGTTTTAATTAACACCAAAGAAAATAATAGTGGTTGACACGACAAACTATTTTCAGGTTTTCTTTTTTTAACTGGGGGCAGTTGCCATTTAGAAGGCTATGAGAAGAGCAGGGTACATTCATCATCTGGCGCCACCTTTCTCTGTTAGGAGTGAAACTGACTAGTTAGTAAACATGAAATATCTATAATACTCACATTTTGTAGCCATCAGCTTTTCAAAAGACTGGCCCCATTGTAATACTTCCTCCAAAGTAATGCTTTGAAAAGAAACAAAAGGTGCTCATTGCACCAAAGTATTCTCAAAGTTTTGCTGAACATAGAAATATATGATCTTGGGGCGCCTGGGTGGCTCAGTTGGTTAAGCGTCTACCGTCGGCTCTGCTCATGATCTCAGGGTCCTGGGATTGGGTCCCAAATCAGGCTCCCTCTCCCTCTGCCCCTTCTGCTCATGCCTCTCCCTTTCTGTCTCAAATGAATAAATAAAATCTTTAAAAAAGGAAATATATGATCTTGAAAATAACGCCAAAATATAGTTGTACTCTATTTGTGTGTGGTTTTGTGGAAATTTATCTTTCTGTGATCTTCTACATTTTATTTTTACTTTCTAAATTGTTAAAATTAAACAAAAATTGTGAAAGTGTAAACTTGAAAATATGATAAAATAAATTTTTAAAAGATAAAGATCCATAGTCCTGTAATTTCCCTATTCCCAAATTACTACTATTAATATTTTGATTTACTTTTCAGTGTTTTTGCTATTTATGTGTTTGTGTGATTTTAACTAAGAAGTAGACAAACTCTGAATGTGTTTGTGTGCATGCATACTTTGTGTGTGTATACATATATATGTATATATTCACTTTTTTAAAAAAGATTTTATTTATTTATTTGACAGCGAGAGAGGGAACACAAGCAGGGGGAGTGGGAGAGGGAGAACCAGGCTCCCCTCTGAGCAAGGAGCCCAATGCCGATGTGGGGCTCGATCCCAGGACCCTGGGATCATTACCTGAGCCGAAGGCAGACGCTTAATGACTGAGCCACCAGGCGCCCATATATATATTCACTTTTAATAAGATTTTTATATGTCATCACAATTGTCTTAAAATCCATTTATAGTGTTATGACTTATAATTATAAAATTATAATCTTTGATAGTCACTGTGGAGTGTTCTACAAGGGGGCATTCTTTTTTTCCTCCCCCCAAGATTTATTTATTTATTTATTTATTTGAGAGACAGAAGAGAACTCAGATTGGGGAGAGACAGAGGGAGAGAATCCTCAAGCAGTTTCCTGCCAAGCACAGAGCACAACGTGGGGCTCAATCTCATGACCCTAAGATCATGACCTGGGCTGAAATCAAGAGTTGGCCGCTTAACCAACTAAGCCACCCAGGTGTCCCTTTAAGGGGTCATTCTATAGTTTACATAATTATTCTCAATGAGCATCTTGATTATTTCTCATTTTTTAACATAAAAACTTGTGATTAAGGCTTGCTATGTTCACATAGGGTAATTGCTTACGGGCAGGATTAGTAGAAGTAGAATTAAAGTGGGTCAAGAAGTGCAAATTTTTAAGGTTCTTGGTATAAATTGCCAAACTGCATTTGGGTTTGCATCATGTGCTGCTGGTACCAGTAATGTGTGTGCCCATTTAACTATTCACATCTTAGAGTTTATCCACAAAGTCTATTTGCATGCCTTCATATAATAAAGTTAGTAACCTTGTATCTATTATGTGCAGATATTTTCTCTATTATTTGCTATAACTTTCTTTACACGCTCAGGGTTTGAATTTTTATTACAGTGAATGATATGTGAATAAACGTATAAAAACCCTTTACCATTTCAAAAATATCTGTGAAAGATACTGGGTTTGAGGCTTCATTTCTGTTCATCTTTCATGGCTTTGTGAGGTGAATTGGCAAGTGACTATGGATTCTTACATGTAAACCATTTTATTTTCTCTCCTTTAAAATACTCAGTGTGTTCATTGGCATCCAGTTTATGATTGTTTCAGTTTACGATTGGTTCACACTTCATTTTCCTGTTTTCAATGACATCAAATAATCAGCTAACTACAAATACAAGCAAGCCCTGTCCATTGGCTACACCTGGTGTAGGTAGCTCTGTAATTGGTGTCGAGGGAACAGCCATCAGCATTAGGAGGCACTTAACACAATGAAGGAAGATTAGTCAAAGAGGTTTAAAAATGATCTAGAACATGGAAAAATATCAGGAGTCTTAACAAGCTCAAATATCTTTTGTTTTCTATAAAGTCGGATGGCCCTTGCCAGTTTTAGGTGGACTATGCGCATCAGTACTGAGGCTTAACAGTATACTGCCGTTAAGATTGCTTTCAAAAAACATTTCCATGAAATGCTATCTGACTCACTGTTCTCTTATTAGAACTTTAAAAACAGTAACCTAAAGTAACCTTTTCCATCAGTGAAACAGTAAGTGCTAGGCAAGATATGTGGCATGCCTCTCTGTTCTATGCGTTCCCATTATATAGGAAAAAATAAAATCTACAACATGAGCGAAGATGCCATTATTGTCTTGGCTTAGCTTAAAATAAAGTGTTGGTACTTTGTTGGTGAGAGAATTCTTTCTCTAAGATTCATGAGATTTATGGAGATAGATAATGATCAGAGTGATTATGGTCGGGGTTAAAGTTGTGAAATGAAAATTGGTTTTGGCTTAACCCCATTTTGCTTGTAATTTTTTCTGAGTATCTCAAGTTTCATGCCGTTCCATGGCTATTCAGGTGGGAGTAATTCTAAACATCCCTGTCCCCTCATCCACCTGGATTTCCTAATAAAAGCAGCGGATACAAAACAAGGGAGCATTCTGAGACCTCACGTCATTGTGGAAACAGGAATGAAGAGTGCTTGGAGTCTGAGAGTCCTGAGTTCTAATTCCAGTGCTGCATTTAATAGCTTTTGGTTTTGCCTAAAATCTTTGAGCCCCAGTTTTATTATCTATAAAATGGGGTTAATACCTATCTCTCAACGTTATCTTGAAAATTAGAGAAGGTCATGAATGGAAAGCATCTATCAAACGACTATTATCTACCAGCTTGCCCTGACTGTGAATTCTCTCTTTCCTTGGCCTCCCCCTTCCCTGATGGTGGGTCTACAAGGCAAGTAGAAAGAAATGTGAGCCCTGGTGGTGAGACTCCATGGGAGTCATCAGCAGAAGAGATGGAAGCTATTCCCAAACCAGCCTATTTTATCTCCCTCCCTACGTGTGCCTGTTCAGCACAGCAGCTTCACCTGGTTGTTTAAAATGCTGAACTTTGGCTTTTCTTGTCTCTTCCACCTACCACTGCAGCCTCCTCCCCACCTCACACAAATGCTTGTAAGTATTTTTGGACCTTTAGGTACTACGGGGCAGGAGCACACATGCCAGGAGCTCTGACCATAGCAAGGGAGGTGTGGCCAGGACTGAGCACTCCACATGGACTTGGTTAGGCACTGTGGTTAAAGTAACACACAGCGATCCTCAGTGTGGGAATCCTTGAGGTGGACAATCCAATCAAATGATTTGTTACCCTTCTCCAGCATTATTCGTTCCATTTTAGCAGTCACTCTTCCCATCCAAATGGCTACATGTATAGTTTGGCAAAATATCCAGGAGACTCGGGAAATTGGTAAGCTTCTGGTTACCCCACCAGTCTCCCTTCTTCCAGCTAGACGTGAGGTTTCTGGCACTTTGTAGGTGGAGGGTTAGAATCATGAAAATGTTTTGGATAAAGAATCTCATTTTAACATAAACAATATAAAACTTAAAAAAAATCTAAGAGTATTTATTCATAATAGATGCTGTATAAACATTAAGCTTGCTTAATTCTCAAGTGTAAACCATAAATAATGAAAATGAAACCTTAGCGTAATACATGATTGCTCTTCTGGTGGAATTACTCATGTGTAAATGCAAATTTACTCTCTGAACAAAATATATTAAATTAGCCGTTGAATAAATGTATACCTATTTATCATGTGATAAATATACATTAGAATGGCCATGTAATTTAAATGGTACTTACTTTGAAGGAAGTCTCTTAGATTCATCTCTGCACATCTTGCAAATCCAACAATTCCGTCTGCTCATTTTTCTAAGGCAATACAGAATATACTTAGTATAATTTAGTCATTTAAAATAATTATATGCTACAGTCAGTGTCTCAGGCACACACAAAGTTGTAAATCATGAAAAAATAAGCACGAGTTTTTGAAATTAATGGGATACAATCACTGGTGGGGGTGGGGAGGAGAGAGGAGAATAAAATAACTCATCTCGCAAGTATTTTTTAGAAATATAGGTACTTAAGAGTTGTGACTTTAGGGCACCTGGGTGGCTCAGTTGGTTAAGTGACTGCCTTCAGCTCAGGTCATGATCCTGGAGTCCCAGGATCGAGTAACGCATCGGGCTCCCTGCTCAGCAGGGAGTCTGCTTCTCCCTCTGTCCCTCCCCCCTCTCGTGCTGTCTCTCATTCTCTCTCTCTCAAATAAATAAATAAAATCTTTAAAAAAAAAAGAAGAGTTGTGCCTTTAGAACCCATCTGGGCCATTTACTCATCCTAATGGTGTTTAAAACAATACGGCTTACTGAGAAAAATCTTCCCATTTAGGGCCCACCGACAATGAATTCAACTCCCAAGTCTTCCCTTTCTTGGGTAATTCTTAGTTTTAGGAAGATCTCTCAATATATTGAGCAAGAATTTGCTTCTTTGTAATTAGCCAAAATAGTGTAAATAGCTAAATAAAAAATAAGATTCCTTGAGGGTGAATTCTGAGAAGGGGATTGCTTACCTGGTTTTCTACACTCCTGGCAGTATAACATCGGCTTTAAAATTCAGGTACAGTTTACTCAGCCCAGGCTTTATATAACAGTGTATGTCATAGAGGGTTTTAAGCTCAGGACATTGAGAAAACAACTCAAAAATTTAAGAATAATTAAATCTGCAATTTATAACGAGAGCTGGAAATGTTTTGCTAAACATATGCACACTTACACAAAATGAATTATTAAGGATAACAGTGAGTTTTTATATCAAGTCTTTAGTGATTCATTCGAAACATCTGTTGAACACTAGTTATGTGCCAAGTTCTGGCTGCCAGTGATCTATGTAGATCCTGTCTTTTCCTCTTCCAGTCCTCACTAGCAAGCAGTTAAAGTCCATGTGACGGGGACTTTGAGACAGGAAGTCCAGTGGGCCGTGAGTACACACAGGAGGAGAACCTACACAGACTTGGGGGTGGTTAGACACGGCATCCCAGTATAGTAATAGTTGAGCTGGAACCCGCAGGATGTGCAGGAATGTGCTGAGTGAAAGGGACAGGGCAGCTTGGGCAATGGGTCATGTCCTAACTGAGGAAATGAAAGGAATGTGGTCATCTCATGAATCTAGATTATGGCAAGGAGAGAGCTGGGAGCACAGGCTAGAGAGTTAAGATTGGACCAATAATCATGTTCGGAAATGCTCGTTGCAGCAAGAAAGCGATGAGAGACGAAGTTGGAAGACATGCAGAAGCTGAGCATGTTAGATTATATACACCGTGAATTTCATAGTAAGGAGTTGGAAAATCATTGAGGGTTTTAATATATGGACTAGACATGCTAATATTTGAGATGGGTTTTGTGAGCAGAATTGATTGTAATGCAAGGGTGGAATCCGGAAGACTTGTTAGGAGATTGCCTGCAGGAGTGCAAGTGAGGGTGTTGCAGTCTTAGATTAGGAAGGTGGCAGGAGAGATGGAGGGAAGGGGGCAGATTTTAGATGTGGTGGAGAACTTGATGTACTGGATGCGGAAGATGAGAGAAAGAAAGGAAACAAGTTCGGATGAAAGATTTGACCTCAAGATAAAGTGGCAGTTTTTACAAAGCACATAAAAGAAACCAAAAGAAAAGATAAGATGGCCTAGGAAGAGCGTATGAACTGAGAAAAGCAGATGGCCCAAGACAGATGACTCAGAGACACACTGAGAAAGTGAAGCCCGCAGGAAGACAATCAGAGTAATATGGTATCACAGAAACCAAGGGATGAGTTACCGAAAAGCAGAGACTAGTCAACTGAGCGCAAGAGCTGGGGAACGATGAAGTGAACAAAGGAGGGGGGCGCCTGGGTGGCTCAGTTGGTTACGCATCCTACTCTTTTTTTTTTTTAAGATTTTATTTATTTATTTGACACAGAGAGAGAGAGCGCAAGTAGGCAGAGCAGCAGGCAGAGGGAGAGGGAGAAGCAGGCTCTCCACCGAGCAGGGAGCCCGATGCGGGGCTCGATCCGAGGACGCTGGGATCACGACCTGAGCCGAAGGCAGCCGCTTCACCGACCGAGCCGCCCAGGCGCCCCGAAGCATCCGACTCTTGATTTCCACTCAGATCATGATCTCAGGGTCATGGGATCGAGCCCCGCCATGCTGGGCATGAAGCCTGCTTCAGATTCTCTCTCTCTCCCTCTCTCTTTGCCCCTCCCCACACCCCAATGCCCGCTCCATGCACATGTGCACACTCTCTCACAAAAAAAAAAAAGAAAGAAAAAGAGAGAGAGAGAACAAAGGATTGAAAAATATCCATCAGATTTGCTAACAAGAAGGTTATCGACAGCCTTGGTGAGAGGGGTTTTGGCGAAACAGGGAGGGCGGAAGCAGGAGAGAAGAAAACAAGAGGAAATGGAGACCGGAACAAATGTGGGGCTACTTGCACTTTCTTCCCTCCCTCTCTCCCTTCTTTCTTTCCCTTCTGATAAAAGCCATGGACCAAACAGTATAACAGAGACAGAGAGGCAGGACTCTGCTGTCTGGCCGTTCGGGCCTGCACATCTCTAAGAGTCTAGTTCAGAAAGTCTATGGTGTGAGTGACCTGCCCTGAAACTGGCAAATGGTGTCCATGGAAAGAAGTTGCTGATGTAGGAGAAAGGAGGAGAATCAATAGATTTTCAGGTTTCTGAAAAAAAAATGTTTTTTTAAAAGGAACTAGAATTCGGATTGTGGGAGATAGAACATTGGAGAAGTGGAAATAGAGGAAGAAATTGTTGTTTTCTTGTAATTGGAATGGGTGTAGATCTAAGTATATTTGCAGGTTTGGGGATAAGAATTTATGGGTGTTGTGGCCTGACGGACTTCATTTTCTATATGGGTCTCTGCCGTAAGGAGGAGCAAGGGACAAGGTAGCTAAGCTAATCTACAGGAAAAAAACAAAGTTAGGACTCTTGTGATTGCAAATATAGATTCAAAGAATTTAAGCAAAAGAGAGAGTTATTATGAGGATAACTGTGTGCAATTAGATTCTGGATGGCCTTGAACGTTGGGCTCTATTCTGTTGTAGTAATAATTCACTGAGGTCTTTAAATAATAGTGTGGTGTAAATAAGATGTTTTGTTAGAAAGATAAATCTGACCAAAGATGATTAACACTGAAATAATTGAGGCTAAGAAATCTCTTACATTGACTGGCTGTTCCTAACTGATCCTGTGCATAATTGGATCCTGAATTAAAATTTAAGATTCTTTATCTCCGTAATCACCTCTAAGATGCAGATTACCCAATGGCTCCCTGCTTCTCTTCTAAGTAGGAGGCTGGTTAAGAAGTTCTTTCTGTCAAGTGTCCATATAACTAGCCATCTCTGTTTTCCTCTGGGTCTTGACTTCTCCCCTCCATACTATATTTAACTATTTTATTATCAAATATATTTTAACTATATTTGACTATTTTTTATATGTCATTGTCTGCTCACTTGATGTATTAGAGCTGTGTGCACACATTAGTGATTTCTGGAACTAAAATTCATGTCTATTTACAAGTTATCATATATTTTTAAGAACTGTGTTGGAATTGTTTGGCAAAGGTAGAACAGGCTTAGTATGCAACGCCCACAGTGTCAGAAGCATGACAAAGGTAATTTCCAAAGGCACTAGAGTTTAGGGGGTTCCCACAGCTCTTGGCAGATGATCGAGTATATTAAAATAATTCTAGGCTCTGAAGGCAAACAAACACGGGCGTGAGTTCAGGGTCTTATTAGCTGTGTAACCTTGGGCACAGTAAGTCAACTCCTCGATTCTCAATTTCTTTGTTTCTAAAATGGAATTGTAAATATTAGAAAAATGCTTGTATGCAAAAACTTTCTGTTCCAGTTAATCTGATCTTCCTTCAGCTTCTTGCACTCTGTCACTCAGGAAATATTTCCTACACTCTCTTTTATGTACAGGAAGCACACATTCTGCCAGCCTGCATTCCTTCCTCTTTTTAAATTTCAACTCAGACCTCATAAATCTTCCAATTAACCTTATCCATTCTTCAGTGTGTTAGCACACTCCCTTGCAAATCTTACTTTTCTTTTGTACTGTGTTCCTGTATTTCTGTTGTTCATATATTATATTAGTAGCTAGGTTTCTAGATTTAGAAGTACCTGGGTCTCCTATAGCAGGTCAGACACTTTTGGGTATGTGTATCATACTGAAGGGACAAGGCTGCCAGGAAGGATTTGTTTGGCCAGAAGAGCTCTGAGAGGACCGCCTAGCCAGAGCTACCCCTTACAATGATGCAGGTTGTCTCCTCTACAGACACACCTGGTCTGGAGGAGAGCAGAGGCTTAGATCCACCCACAGTCCCCTTGTCAAGCTATGGGCCTCCAAGTGGGGCATCATCCATATGATGGAAAGGCCATCTTTTAAAATTCCAGCAAATGTTCTGTATAGACCAGTAGTAGCCCTGGTTCAGCTACATGACTGATTTAGAGAGAGGTTCTCTGCCCCAAGTAGCTCATTCGTTGGGTGACATTGGAAAAGAGAGTAATATAAATATAAATGTATGAAAATAATGTTATTTATATTTCTGACTTCTATAATCCTAATAGACTATAAATTCTCTGAAGTGATATGTTCAAATGCTATTTGATAATCATGTGTAAGTAGTTGTTTACATATTGTCTAGTATTCTAAGTCAAACATTCACAAATTGATTAAGTTGTAGAATACCAATAGATTATAATGACATAAGAGCATCCACAATGAAATAAAGTATTTAGTGACAGAATTATGTAAAAGTAAAAGGTGTATTATGCATAAAATAGATCACAAAGCAGTCTTGTTTTACAAAGTCCTTTGGTTTTCTAGTCCATTAAGCAATGGAATTTTTTGGGGTGCTGTCCCGATGCTGGAGTTCTGTTCCATGTCCCTGCCCACCCACTGGAGCCCTATTGTCCATCTTCTAAGCTTTCAGAAATCAAATGTCCACTGCACCTCCCTCTTCTGATTACTCCTGGATTCACTATCACTCTATACCACTCCTTTGCTAAAATACCACAGAACACTCTCCAGGTCTTCATAATCCCTTCTACATTGAAAGCAAGAGATAAATTCACAAACATTTAACTCAGCTTCTGATAATAGAACAGATTGGCCCCCTTGAGCTTATTACTTCTTCTAGCCAAAACACTGCTTAAAATTATAGTTAAGGCTTAAACATGAAGAAAAAAAAGGAGATTAAACAAGGAGACAAAAACCAACAAAATCTTTTAAACTAATTTTGGAAGATGGAAAGTAGATGAAGGAATAGAAATTAAAATTCTCATACCTCTAAAATGAGAAGAGAAAAGATAGTCTTTGGAATTTTATCTGGCAAAATGAAAGAAAGAATGAGTCTGAGGACAAAGAATTTCCAAATAACTAGTGATTTAAAAAGAAATATCTGCAATCTTGCATTCAACAGTATATATTATTAAGTAATAGATCTGCATCTAAATACCAAGATTTAGAGTGGCGGAGTGAAATCTTTTCACTTTTATAATTGAGAACTTTTAAGAAATACTTTTGGTAATTCCAAAAAAAGTAAACTAATAAATTTACTTGGAATTAGAGCGTACATGGTCATTTACTGGTAAAAATAAAAATTAGCCTAAAATATTCCATAGAATTCAAATTCTATTTTGGCAAAAAGAGAGTTCTCTGTGAAAGAATGACCTAGATGGATATGATTTAGAATTGATTTAAATTGGAGAAACTCACCAAGTTTCAATAACAATCATTTTTTTCTCATGTTAGTGGTATGATTATGGAAAAATTCCATTGACCTAAAAAGAAAATAATAACAAAACCAAAATGATTATTGTGTACTTCCCAGAGAATGCATATTTGGCAAAATATTTCTATAAATACCTTGTCTTACATTTTAAGTAAATAATTTTTCTACTTTGTAAGTGTTAGATTACGGTTATCCTTATTTTTGATTTAACTCCTTATCTAGAATTTTATTAATTTCATAGATTGATATTGTAAAAATTCCTATACTTTTTATTTGTATTTTCCACTGATTTTTCTTTAAATGTTTTTTGCTTACCTTACATTAACATTATGCCTTAATTTGCCTGTTTTTTAAATTTTTCCATATCCTTTTGCTAAACTAGTGTGCATTTTTACACTCTAAGAGTAGAGTATTTAGAACAGTTAGGTCTCCAAAATGATTTTGCCTCCAATGTTTTCTCTTGATTATTTTAAAGAAAGCATACTAAGCCAAACATCTATACAATCTAATTCTTAGAGCGGTTATAAATGCTTTAGTGATGAATTGAGTTTGATATATGTTGTGCCAAAATAGATCCAAATTTTCTCTAGCATTTAAGTGAAATCTTTCTCAAAGTAATATGAAAATAAATGAATTCTCTTAAATTTTACCTTCCCACATATTTAATGTTTTTATTATCCTGACAGTTGATGAATTCATTCCATTCAATATAATATCTGCATTTAAATGTGTTTCTTATGACATAAAATGTCACATAAAATTTAGAAAAACCTAGAGCAATTTACATTTTAGTGAGGTTTTGTTTGCCATAGCGCGTAAAATTCTTGCCTTTTAAAAAGCAGGTAATTTGTGGGTAGTTGTGCTTAGGCATAACATTAAGGAATGAAGAAATTCCATAAAATCAAAATTAACTATGCTTCATGTAAATCTTGCAACAATTCATAACTGGAATCAGTACAGCTAATCAAATGATGGAACTAGTTATTTGATAATGCATGATTTTTGAAGCAAACAATTCTGAGATATGATTTTATAATATATCGTTATCTAAACATATACATCCATGTTCACACACACACACACACACACACACAAAACCATATAAAATGAAAGACCATACTCTAAATCTATAATATTTCCTTTACTGAACAATTTAGAAACTTCATTTATACATGTATGACTGTAAGTATTTTTTAAGTATAGAAAGCCTAGGCCAGGGAAACCTGTGTTTAGTAGTTTGTTTTCCTTAGAAGAAATCTAGTATTTCTAGCAGTCCTGCTGTTAAAGTAAACATCCACTCGTCATTGATATCAAGCCAACACTGTATTCACCAACTATTTTATGGAATCTCATACTTACAAATATATCCTGTAGAATGGTCCACCATGCTAACTTTTATTTTCTAGCTGTATGATCCTTTTGAAATCAGGTTCTGAAACGCCATGAGACACCCAGCATTTTATTTTTCCTGGCACAAAATAACTTTACTCTCTTTATAATTACCTTTGATGGCACTCTGCCCTCTCTATGGATGTTCTGTTTTTACACATGTATCTATGCAAAGAGAGGTTTTGTTGAATATGGAAAATAGTGCTGTGGGACTCTAGTGCATTGCTGATAAAGAGGTTTTATCTAACATTATCAGCCCATCTGAAGTGATCAGATGATTGGAAGCAGTAGTTCTATGAAATTTTCAATGTAATATTCAAAATTTTTTCCAAAATGATCAATTTTTCTGGTTTTAGAAAAATTTTTCTAGTTTAGCTTAAAGTAAAATCTGCCTTTTAAAAAAACAGAGAATTGAATATCAGTAAGTAAGCTAAGCCTGCAAGTACTTGTTATTAAATTATTGAGAACTATTAAAATCAATCTGTTTAGAATAGTCAAATTACTAAGGTCTTATAATAACTGAAGGGTCTAAAAAGGACTCTTTTCTAGTTAAACCTTTCTAGTTCCTTCAGCTGGTCCTCATAGGGTGCTTTCTGGACTCACCATTATTCTTCAGTTGCTATACCTATTAAAATCTGAACTGAACACAGAGCTCCAGATGAAGATTAATGAACACAGAGTATGATGAGATTGTTAATACACTTGTCCTATGTCTATTCTAACTGTGTGTGTTGTGTGTGTGAGAGAGAGAGAGACAGCAGACAGAGAGAGAGAGAGAGAGAGAAACAGAATGGTGGGGGTTGAGGAATGCTAAAATAAAACAGCAGGAAAGAGATCAGAATATGCTTGGTGGAGGATTTCTGAAAGTATTTAGGAGCCTAATAAGGTCGAAGATTATTTTTACTTGTATTTCATGATTTTGAGGTCCAAACCCCTAGAAACTGAATCTATCAAATCTAGAGGCTAAGTTTGGGACTAGAAAAGGCAGACAAACTTCAGAAAGTCAGAAGCTAAGTAGATGTGGCAATGATGAAGGAAGTAAAGGGTGAGGTTTGGATTAACTTTGAAGGATCCGGGTTGGTTGTTTGCTGATAGCATTCATTTTCACTGGTTTCTAGTTCTCCAATTCCCTCCCTACCTCGGGACATTTGGCAGTCTCTCTGAGTGTTGCACTTGAGATGCAGGGATGTTTCCTATTTCTCTTGGTTTGGGTACAAGGAGCCGGTGGGAAGATTCTGAAAGTAACACCTTGTAAGAGCACCAGTGGAAAGCTTGCTGAACAGAATAAAACATGAGCATCTTCTTGCAGAGTGAAAATTGGGTATCAACAGGGCTGACTGAGTAGCAAAAAGGCTATGGAGTGAAGAGTAACAGAATGGCTAAGTAAAAGGCAGTCCAGGAAAAATTCCAGAAAAAGATGCTTGTGGCAGATATCTAAGCATTTTTAGTTTCTCTGGAAAAAGGTAGGCAAGGAATTAATGGGGTCAGAGCAATGTAATCCTCAGTACATAGGTGGACCCGATAGATTCAGGGATGTCAGGTAAGAGCAGGTAGCAGCATCATTGAGCTTTCACCGGTGCAGGGTGGGAAAGCTCTTTCCTTTAAAAGGTGGTCTTTGATTAACTGTGATCTATTTACTCCTGTGTGCTTTTACTTTATTTCTGTTTCAGGCCAACTAAGACCGAAGTAACACAAGTTCAAATGTGCATAGTTAAAGAATAGTTACTATTTTTGTTTGTTTAAAATTCAAAATGAACTTTTTTGGGGGGCAATCTTCTTTTTTTAATTATGTCCAATTAGCCAACATATAATACATAATTAGTTTTTTATTTTATTTATTTATTTGAGAGAGAGAGAGAAGGAAGGGGCAGGGGGAGAGGGAGAAGCAGACTCCCTGCTGAGCAGGGAGCCCAATGAGGGCCTTGATCCCAGGACCCCGGGATCATGACCTGAGCTGAAGGCAGACACTTAACCCACTGAGCCACCCAGATACCCCTCAGAATGAACTTTTTTGCACGAATAGAAGAACGAAATGTTAGAAATTGGTTATTGTCGGTGGTGGTGATTTAAGAAATAAGCTATTTACAGTGCCTCGTATTAAGTTATATAGTTGTTGCCATTTGTTCACAGTATCCTATGAACTTTTTAATATATTCTATATATTTTAATATATAGTACTTAAAATACATAATATATACCACTTTAATGTCATAATGAAATATTTAATCTATATAATATGTAATACTTCTAAATATATTCTAGAAGCAAAATAAATCACTGGTGAATTCACTCATAGACACTGGTGAGTTCTTCAGTGAAATGTATCCAACAGGCAGCAGTTTGTACCAATGTTTTCATTCCCACATAGGAGAGATTTTCTGATGTGTTCATGAATATAATCACTTGCATTGAGACCAATAGTTATTACATTAACTGTGGAATTGTTACTACATTAACTGTTATGGAGAGTTTTCTATTTAGATGGAAGCACAAACTTTATAGTTTTATTTTCTACCTACTTGCAGAAGTGTATTTCTTTTTCAAACCAGATTTTATCATGATATTCAGCAACTATTTCTGGTTACGTACATCTGATACTTAAGTGAACCAATTTAGAATATATTTTTGTATCCTTTAAATAAACTGAAAATTAGTTAGATAACAAGTTATGAAAACATTTACTATGGTACTTAAGACCTAAGTACTGTATGAAAATGCTAGTTCCTGCTTACTAATTTAAGAAGAGAAAACACAAAGAAAGATATCCTGGAACAATCTGTTGAAGACCATATGCAATGTGAATATGTCAGATACTGCCTCCTCAGTCTTTAACAGAAGGTTTTTTAAAAAAGTAATTATTTTAGCTCTACATTCCTTAAAGAATTTTTTAAAAGAAATTTTATTTAAGTTTTTATTTACAGTGATATAGAGTCTTTAGTAAAAACTTAAAAAACATTTGAGTTCTGTAGAGTGTTGATTTGTAGAGAGTACCTTGCTCTAAGAAACCACTCAAAGTACTAGTTTTGTGGGTTTTTTTTTCTTTTTTTTTTTAACCAGACTCTTCATTTTATCACCAAGTAAGAGATATCAGCCTTCTCTTGGAGTGAGCAGATATGCACGATCTGTCTCTTGTGAGGCCCAATTGCCTTTCCCAGATCCTGAGACATCCATCTCTGGGGATTTTCCCATGCCCCACCCCGACTGTGTGTCAGGATGATGGAAGTCTGCTTCTGCTTTTCCTGAACTCTGGATCTGCCACCCCTTTAGCCTTTCTATTCTATCCCTGCATTTCCTTCCCATGTTGTATCTTTGCAGAGCAACCTCTGTCCTTTTAGACTCAATGTCCGTATCTTGGAGTGTGGTTGAACGTTCTGCAACCCAGACTTGACTCATACCCTCCTCTTGAGTTCTCTGGCTTGCTGCCAACTAGAAACAATCTAACTTTGGCTTTTGCCTTGTGTGAACCAGAAACATGGTGACAACATAAATTAGAAACAGATTACTGAGCACCCCACACTGTTGTCAGCACAAAAAAGCACTTAAATGGCAGTTAAAACGAGCTGCCAATTTTGTCTGCATTTATTCAAATGACTTACTCTAAAGATGCCTTTATTACAGTCGTGGGTCCTCCAGTCTATAAAGTCTAGTCACTAACTCCCAGTCATTATAGCTTTTGCTTGGGGGTGGCTCTAAATCCATTCTCTTGACTTTCCCAGGAAATTCAGTAATGCTTTCAAGGTTTCTGATCTCTAGTTTGTAACTGAGAAGGAACAGTAGCCCTACTTAGTTTCCATTTTCTCCTGAACACTTAGCGGTTGGTCTTTTTCTGTCTTAACCAACTAGATTCCAGGGGAATAGTTAGAATCTTATTGCCCCCCCAGCACCCCCCATCCTCGGAAGTGTATTTAAGGCAATGTTAGCAACTAGAAAAGCAATGCTCTTTTCCTGGAAAAAAGAAGACAGCTTAAGTTGTTTAACTTGAACTGGGATGTGTCTTTTAGCTTTATTGTACATTCATGTTTATCTGTGGAACCCTCTGAGAACAAGGTTGAAGGTACATTCCTTTGAAGAAGATGTGTGTTGGCTTTGTCAGGCAACCCAGGCACTTCCAACTCAGGACTGCTCTGTTATTTTCTTGGCTTGTTGGCATGGGGAAAGGGTGGGTGGGGGGTGGTTTCCTGGATCACACAGTTAGGATAAATTTAAATTATAAATCCAGGAGAGCACATAATACCCTGCTATTATGCTGAATCCAAGTTTCCTTGTTATCAGTCTTTGTAGGTAACTGGGCTTTCCTGTCTATTCTTTCACTGAAGATATAGCTCTCTGAGGGTCCTTAGCTCATCTTGCTACTGGATACGGCCTGAGATCTCCTTTTCTGACTTGCAAAGCTCTCCTAAGAGCCAGCCCTCTCGGTAACTGAGATTAGCAAATGCTCAGCTCAGCTGTATGTTAAATCCTCTGGTTTAGGATTCCCTTTGTTTTTCCTTGGGGATTTTTTCTACTTTTTTGCAAGCTTAAGTGTACATTTAAATTGGAGGGGGTGGCGTTTGTTATATATTTTTTCCTAGCATTTCTAGGTTTCTGGTAGTGAGAAGATATTTCAAGATATATCTTATCTACCACAATCCATATTTTCTTTTATATGAAATAATGTGATATATTCATTTTTATTTATTTTATTTTATTTGATATATTCATTTTTAATAAGACCAAATGTAGAAAGTATCAAGGAAACTGGAACTTCAGTATTTCTTTGTTATCACAGAGGGAAAGCACCATTAATTCCTTCTTTAAGGCACTATAGATGCCTTAAACATACCCGGCCTACTGGTTATGTGGTTGCAAAGCTGAGGTCTGTCTGGTTTCTCATCACCTAAACAATTCACTGCCCTTATTCTTTATATGAACCTGTTACTTTCTGCAAGGTATCTGCCCATGGAAAGGTGGAACGAACACACCTGTGTCATGGTAATGTTTCCTGTTTTTTTGTTTTTTTTTTTTTTTCCACAGAGGTTAAAATGGCTCTGCTGCAGATAACTATCTAAAAACTTGTTGACAATCTTGAAACGAATCTGTCCCCAGGCAATGGGGATGTATAGCCCCGTCTGACCATTCGTGATGGAGGTCAATGTGATATCCAGGGACT